AGAGAGAGAGAGAGAGAGGGGAAGAGAGAGAGAGAGGGGGAGAGAGAGAGAGAGAGAGAGAGAGAGAGAGAGAATTTTGCCCTTTGAAATTTTTACCTTTTGTTCTATAAATGATATAAAAGTTATAATTACAAATAATTTTAAGACTTTTACCCAGAATTTTACTTTTAATTAAAAATAATATAAATCTATGTTACAATTTATAATATCATATTAATTAGTTTAGCAAATTATTAAAATATACAATTTAAGACCTAATATAATTCAGCATTGTTTCTATTGTACTAGGTGCAATACGTATTTTAAGGGTAATAATTGCATAATCAAAACTGATCTATTACATAAGTGCATGTAGACCAGGGCATACTAAATAAGGTGTATAACAATTGCTTGTTTTCTATTAATAAATCAATGCTTAATACTTATTATAACACAATTACTATTCTGTTATAGAATTATACTGTATTTGTATTTATTATATTTATTCAATATAAATTTATTTAAAATAAACCATTCTGGTACATGTCTGATATATAATATATCATAGTTCTTTTATATGTTTGTATAATACTACAAATATTTGTTAAGTATTATTTTGTCAAAAATCATTATTTAAATACAATACAGATTATTTGAAATTCAAATTTTGAATATACTGTACATGTATTCAATAATGAGGCAACAATTACAACAAGTATTTTGATAAACATATTGACAACCAAGTAACTTTGTTTACTCACTAGTCAGAGAATATATAAAATATAAAGCAAACATATATCTAATTACTTTATAATTTTTATTTATTATATAAATATTTCACTATAAATACATGTATGTACATGTATACAATTAACTCGTTTAACGTTAATGCAATTATAATTTACACGTATATTGTTGTAAATATTTAAATTAATGCAATAACAATAGGGTAAATCTACTGCAAATATTTTGTAAGATCATTAATTGATTAAATTTATTTTATTTAGAATAATAGTATAATTAAAATATTTTTATTGGTAATTATTTACCTAATTTTTGTTTCACTTTGATCACATCCAGCAAATTCATCTTGTTCACAATAGTTTATAACAAACACATTAATCAATTCAAATTAAAACAAATAAAATATCAAGAATTTTGTCAAAAATTCAGAAATAAATCTCGAAAAAGTTACACAAAATGTACGTTAAAATCCGATCACATATAAAAACACATTTTGCGCTAAAAAAATCAATAAGTTTACAAAACAAATGCAAAATCAATGCAATAAAACAAATATGTTTTACATAATTAAATACCGACAAAAAATATTACACACATAAAACTTTATACTTTAAAAAATATAAGCCAATAGTTATAGCAGTGGTAGGTATTTAGTGCCACAGTCTCTCACCAGACATTTAACACACATCGATCAAAGCCAACTGATCTTACATACAAAACATACAAATCAAGCCATACATACACAGTAATCAACTAATCTAGTACGATAACAAACAACCACTTAACAAGTAGTTTAGTTGTGTACCCCTTGTATACTGTACTAATATTACACTGTATACTATACTGTATACTTCAACAGGACTTGCATTATGCGCGGGAACGGGATTTTGCGGGTTAGGGACTGGTGACCCGGTCTATAAAAACATGTTTACTTATATGAAATTTAGTGTGAAAACAATGAAATCAATATTTTTAAAATTATTGGTTAATAAACATATTTTATTTGTATTATAATGTTATGCGAAAGCAATTATATTCAGTTAATAAGAAATTGTTTTAATTTCAAGGATTATTGTAAACCCTTTTTGTCACTAATTGTGAAAAATACAAGTTTGTGGTCAAACAACACGTATACCCGTTGAGCGCCTGTGGATTAAGGACAGGGATGGGACAGGGATTTGTATTTTTGCATTAAGCGGATATCCTATTACCAAGAAATGACCAATTTCATTTATGTATAAAATATTGCAATGATTAATGCAACTTTAATTTATTTCTCACTATAATTAATGTAAACTATCAATAAATCGTTAATAAAAATATTTTGTTTAATAATAAAGATTTGTTTTCAATTTTTCTTGTTTTTTATCAACACTTTTGCTATTTTAATGAGTTTTTAAATTATGGTATTATTATTGTTACTATAGTTTATAATTGAGTTTTATTTTTATATCTGTCCTAAAAATCTGAATAATTTTTCTTTAATTTAGTTTTTGTTGAAAACAATAATAATAAATAAAAATATTTTCTCTTTAAATAATAAGTTAATAACAATTTAATATAAAATGTATTGATTTGTCAATACAGTAGTGAAAAGCACTTTATAATTAACAACAATTCATAGTCTCAATCGTTTTATAATAAAAGTGTCTGAAAAATATATGATAAAACATATTTAAATGAATTCGCGTAAAATAATATTATTTAATTACCTTATTATTTTTCCTAAATAATTTTTTAGTTCACTAATGATAACATTTATATACAAAATAATATTGAAAGTACACTATTGAACGACTGTAGGGTATATTTGATGTGTTTGTTTGTACACTTTAGGCAACTACCTCTCTCTCTCTCTCTCTCTCGATTATGTAATATAGTTTGTATATTGTGTCAATATATTGGGCACAAAGNTCTCTCTCTCTCTCTCTCTCAGCACATAAAACATAGATTAAAACTTAGACGAGAGAGAGAGAGAGAGAGAGAGAGAGAGGGAGCGAGAGAAAGAGAGATGAAAAGTTCATTATTCCGGGTTATCAATTGAGATAAATAATATATACCATGTATTCAGTATTGAATTCAATAAACTCTTTAATATTTCATTTAATCAAAAGTAAAATATTTCAAATAAAAATCGTTATAACTACATTTAAAAACATGATTATTAAATGATAATGCTCAATAACCACAAAATTTAATTTAATCTTTGTACACATAATAAGCACTTGTTTATTATGAATCATAATTTATGATTATGAATAGTGTATTAATGTATTGAATTTGCCATAATTTAGTGAATGTATTTAATTTCCCTATAATTTACTTTATAATAAAAGGTATTCATTATTATTATACTTATTATGTATACAATAGCGAGGAGTTCACTGAATTGGCAGGTTATACAGTTTTTCAGACATAGATTTGATTATTAAATGCTAATTACTTGAAATGATTATTAAGTGTCGACTATTAAGTGATTGTCTGAAAACATATAATAAAATATATTTTAAACAATAATTGAATTAAAGTTATTTTCATATCATTTATGGGTCAATCGGTACAGTAGTCCTACAGTTAGTGAGAGATCAATGAATTATTTAATATCCTGATAAAGTTTACTGCAAACTTATTGAAATGTTTTTTTAATTTATGTTTTATTCAACAAAATAATTGTTAAAAACAATATGCGAAACATTAATAAAAATTGTAATTTCACACAAAACAAAATACTTTAAGTATAAAAATCAATACTTTTGTTAAACAGTATTTATTGGTTTGTTTTTAAGCAAAACGCTATGAAATGTCATTAAATTTAATGCATTTTAATAGTTAGTTTAATGTCAGCTATCTTTAAAGGCCATCGCACACAACCTCCCAAACCCTGTAGCTTTTACCCAGAGTCTCTCTCTCTCTCTCTCTCTCTCTCTCTCGATTATGTAATATAGTTTGTATATTGTGTCAATATATTGGGCACAAAGATTATGGTCTATTAAGACATTTGGCTTCCGTTTGAATGAGTATTCAATTCAAGAAAACGATAAATGAAATGAAGAAAAATATAATTTTGCTTACATTTCATACATATATAGGTTATGAGAAGAGAGGGACTGTCATTATCTGTGTTTGAAAGTAAAAATTTAATTTTACTTTGTAATGCAATAATAATATATTTTACTAAATGTACTTAATTGACAAACAATCAATAATCACTCACGTACTTAATAAATACACACTCGCTTTTACGTGTAAAATAATTTAAATATAAATGTGCTTTACATGCAAATGAGATCTATTATGTATGAAATATGTAACTTTATGAGATTTAATATGAAATCACAAAAACACATGATAACTAAATGTTTAAACCTAATGTTTAATTAAACTCCTGAGTCCGGACACTACACAAAAAAATTCCTGAGTTTATCCGATGTTTTTCCGTTTACAAGCACTTAATACATGAAGTATTTGTATTAGAGATTAAAATATTTTAAATTTGAGAGAGAGAGAGAGAGAGAGAGAGCATAGGGTTATACTAATAGACAACACAAAAAAGTCAGTCAATAAGTCATTAGGAATTTTCTCATCACACGTTAGTTTGTATAAAGAAAATATTTATTTTATAAATGGTTTTTCACCACAAAATAAACCCATTGAAAAATCAATAGATAAAACATCTAGATTTTTGTGTTTATTATAAACGTGTGTTTGTTAAATACATGTCCTGTACTTTAAACCCTTTCATCCCCTCCCAGTCCACCCCCGACCCACTCATACACCGGACCCGATATGTGCCATATCTATACAGTGTTATACAAATATGTATACAAATTAAATGTATTTTTCTAATCGTATGGAAACCCTGTTTATCAGTAATTATTTGAATAAAGCCATTGAAAGAGCATTTTATCATTATTTTAACATTTTATAAATAAAAGTGTTGTTTATTCAGATACTGTATATAAATAAAGATAATTTATATACTGTATACTGTATAATATACTGATTATATTATAATCTACATGTATATATAATTATTAAACTGAATTATTTTACATTACTATTCATAAAACATTAAACAATATTTACACATTTAAATAAATGTCTATAAATACACAATTATTATTATTAATAAGTTTTAGCACAAACTATACGGCGCCTAATCACAGGTGCTAGACATCGGACGACTGGCCACCATTGGCACCGGCATTGGTGGTCAGCACCTGCGACGGTGGGGACTGACACTTGACCACAGCGTCGTGAACAGAGGCGTACACCACATCGGAGTCTAATAGGACCGGGTCTGCCCGGGCCAGCATTGCCAGCACCGGTCTCTGGCATCCGGCCAACAGCACACGGATCCTGAAACGGGCCAACTCTGTCATTATATCGGTGAGAGTGTCGGTGCCGGCGCTGTCCATGTGATAGATGGCCGAGCAGTCAATGATAACGGTGTTTATGTGACTCTTGGCCCGCATATCGTCGCTGGAGTAGACGTGTATGTCATTACTGGCAGAGAGAAAATGGCATAGATTTTTGTTAGAGAGAGAGAGAGAGAGAGAGAGCATAGGGTTATACTAATAGACAACACAAAAAAGTCAGTCAATAAGTCATTAGGAATTTTCTCATCACACGTTAGTTNACGGAAAAACATCGGATAAACTCAGGAATTTTTTTGTGTAGTGTCCGGACTCAGGAGAGAGAGAGAGAGAGAAAGAGAGAGAGAGAGAGAGAGAGAGAACTACCTTGATATATTAAACAACTTTTTGTACAATTGCTCTTTGAATGCGTGTCTATTGAGAAAAATCAATGGACACGAGAAGTGAAATATTTTGATCCCTCTTATGACCAGAGCGTCCGCATAGTGTTTAACGTTAACGTATAGCTCAGTGTTGGACAACCGGCCCATCACTCCACTCGACGGTCTGTCAAAGTGACCGATTTATAAATATATTAATTTATAACAAGCCGAATAGGTTAATAAAATATGTACCTTGATAACCTAATCATAATGACAAGCATATTAAACATGATGGCTATAAGTAGACCCATATCAACATCGCATATGATTACCGACACAAATGTTATAATCCATGTTATCTACGGATTGGGATTTAAATGAAGATTACATTAATATTTTAACCAAAGTTACCATAAATTATATAAATTACAACAAAATAAATTGCAGTCTCTATTAATATAAAGGAAGTGAAGTGTTATAAAACAATAAATGTAAATCTACCGGTAACTACTAAATAATAAATAAAATTGCTAAAAATGCCATTTAACATTTGTTTAAATAAATAAGTGCAAAAAATATGAAACAGATATAATGATGGTAATAATTGTGGTCAATACCCCCTCCATCACCGAGTATTTGAACACTTTGCGCACGTATACAGTCTGGACAAACATGGACTTAAGGGCCATCAAAATAATCGCCGACAAAACGCACTGCAAACCAACAAAAAAAAAACTTACAAATAAATATTTATTAAAAACACCCAAAAAAATAGCACAAACTTTAGGCAAATGATATATCAATGGCTTCATAAACAGTATGACAAGCAGTAGTATTACGGCGGCGAATAGGGTGGCCATCTGTGTCTTGGCGCCCGACCGGTGCAGGACTGACGATCTGGTTAGGGATGAGCTGCTCGGGTAGCAGCTGAAGAACGAGCCAAACACGTTGGCCACAGACATTGCCAACAGTTCCTGATTCGGGTTGATTTTGTCTTGGCGCCCGACCGGTGCAGGACTGACGATCTGGTTAGGGATGAGCTGCTCGGGTAGCAGCTGAAGAACGAGCCAAACACGTTGGCCACAGACATTGCCAACAGTTCCTGATTCGGGTTGATTTTGTAGCGATTTTTGTTGGCAAACGTCTTGGCCATAGACGCCGATACCACGTATGAGACAATCGATATCATTATTGAATCCCATATTAACAGCGAGAACAGTTTAACTGTAGGCAACCTTGGTGATGGTAATCTATCATGTATGATTTAAGTAATTAAACATCTATGTAAATCATATATTCCGGTAAATTTTTGTGCAACTGATTGCCTACCCGTTTGGAACATCTCCAACAATAGCCACCATATGTTTAGCGTTTAGACTCAATAGCCATGAGATTAATGTTATGATAACTACCTATCGATTAATAATATAATTACAATATGTAATAAGTTATAACTAATAACAATAATATCTGTTTTTCTCAACAGTTTTTAGACAGTCAACAATTCTAAGAAATCTTAAAATACAAACAATTGATAAATAAAATAATTAAAAAAAATATCAATTATTAAAAACTACAAGTTATTTATACAAAACAAACTCAACATTTAGTTATTATAATTTTCGTATATATTTAACAAAAACAAAAAAATTAATTTTAAATTTAAAAACTCGAAACAAATAATTAACCAAGAATTTAAATAATAAACAACAACAAACAACACTTACTATAATGATATCTGAGGGGACGGGTATCTTAATCTTAAACTTGCGGCGCAGGTATGGCTGAAGCACCTGTTGGACAAGTAGGAGGAATAGTATGCACGCCAATGAGATTCCGGCCGTTATTAGATTCACTTGATATAGGTTTGAGAAAAATTCGATCCATTCCTGGCCACCAAAAAAAATCACCATAAATACACCAAAACTCACATACATACCCCTCCACTACCCTCCCCCTAATACACCCCAATATTTACCTTGAACAGTCTGAACACCGAGAATCTCATACGTGGTAAGTCCACGTCAAACAGTGTGGGAAAGTATGCGGTGACCACTTGTACGGCCGCAGCCGTGGCGAAGGCGCTGGCAATGGTGTCCGATAACAGTAGCGATAGGGCGCCCAGATTTAGGCAGGCGAGCAGTAACTGTGGAATCATGGTGATTGTTTAGCTAGATTAATACTTGGGCTTATGAGGTGGTAGAGTATTGTGGATACCTGTGTCATACCTGTATGAGTCCGCACAGTAGGCATAGACTGGTGACTATTTCCAGTGCTGTGAACTCCTGGCCAACGAGCGTATGATTACCAGTGTTGACGTCCAACTCGTATATACCCTCTTTCACGCGCAGCACAACATCGCTGATCATTACACTCGTAATGGAAAATGTGCCTGGGTAGAAAATTATAATAAATGCAGTACATAAATAATTATTGTATTATAAAACTTGTTTGAGAGAGTATCATTAATTATTTTAAATTAACATGAATTAAGTTGAGAATAATAAAATATTAAACTAACTCTTTAATTATAACCAATAATTGTTAATATAAAATCATTATTTAAATATAACACAAGTTAGTGAATTGTAAGTTACAGTTTGTAATTAATATCCTATTTAGTCCGTACTATCTAATGTAAATTTTAATTAATAGTAAAACTTACCTCTATTAATTATTATTAATAATTTTATAATTAAAATATATATAAAATTAACTATAAACTAGCAAAATAAGGCTTACCAATAGCCGTGTGGTGTGATGTGCCCATTAGTACGTACACGAGCACCGGGAAAAAGGCCACATACAAACCATGCTCTGCACCCAACCCGGCCAGGTATCCGTTGGCCATAGCCTCTGGTATCTGTACCATCGAAAGGGTTAGCCCTGCCATCAAATCATAGGCCAAATGATTGCGAAATGAGTAGTTCCGCACCCACTGTATGGCCGGCAATATTATCACTAGTGTTGCCAAAAACGATCTCCGAGTCCAGGATCTGCTGATACAGTGACCAGCTTTTGATTTGATAGTATGATAGACATTGTTGCTATTGTTATCACTGCCATCGCCTCCAGCGCTATCATCATTACCACTATTGCCCGGCATTTGTGCCCCATATTTGTCCCGTAGGTCTATCCAAGAGAGCACATCCCGGTTGATCTCGATCCGTTTGCTGGGGTCGGGCAGCGATATGCGCGAGTGCTGTTTCGTTACCGTACGTACAATAGCCGCTATACTCGGGTTCCGGTCCCCGTGCGGTGCCGTGTAGTCTATTTAAGGTTTATAATTATAAATTTATTTTTAAACCATATGGTTTAGTGATTACAAATATATAAATATTAATTAATTTTACATAAAAGTATTATAATTTACTAGTTTATAATTTTACAAACAAACTAATACTGCTTACGCCATCTAAATATTACTAATTATTTAATATACTCAACGACAATTCTAATTAAAAATGTAATTAACTAGTAGCTTTTTGTAAATTTCTATTTTTATTTATTTTTTACTAATTTTGTGACAAGTAAACGTGATAAAAATAAATATCACATTATAATACTTCCAATAATTATTAATACAAAATCATATTTATATCCAACATAAGTTATTGAATTTTAAGTTCCAGTTTGTAATTATAATCTTATTTAATTAACAGTATTTAATGTAACTTTTAATTAATAGTAAAATTTAACTTTATCAATTAATCATTAAAATCTAATTATTAATTAATCAAACAATTAAACAATAATGACATTTATATGAATAGACAATAATAATTTACCATATTTTATAATGTATAACTTAAATAGTGTACATACCATCTAATGATGCATCGGATAATATGCTGAATATACTATGTTTGCGTACATCAAAATCATCGGGGTTATTTAGATTCATAACAAACTATTCTTGATCAAATAATTATTGTTTAAAACTCAACAAAAACAATTCATTTGTATGTGTAAAACAAAATACAGTTTACTAAACCAACTATACCAACATGGTTCAATTTATGGTAACATTAAACGAGATAGTTGACTATTATAAAAGGCTTATAACGTGCAATGTTTTATTATTATGAAATTAAATGTGTAATAAATTTATTATTAAACTATATTTTTTGTGTTTTAAGATTAGAAATGGTTAATAAATTATACATTATATGTATATTATATAATGCATAGAGATATAAATTATATTAGTTTTTAACTTACCATGTGATTAATTATTATTTATAGACACAACAAAATAAGTTTTGTTTTATTTTAAGCTCAATAATTGCTAATAGTATATGCAATATAATGGGTATTATTAAACATTTAGTTGGCTACCCATGTTTATTGTGAAATAATTTATAGCAGTAAGGTTTTAAATATTTGAATTGTTATAGATTTTTTGATAGGAATTATTTGTCTAATTTATCGTGTTTTGAATTAAAAATGTAGATGCAAAAATATGAACATTGTAAAGTATACGCTTGTATAAAGTTTATCAAATTTGTTAAGGTAATAGTTGTTATGAAATTAATTAAATGATATTTTACGTAATTTTAATTGTTTTATCGTTTAATTTCACTTTTGTTATAGTTGTAATTTAAATGTTATTTATATTTTCGATTAGTTTTATAATTATAATGTTTTATTTGACGAGAGAGAGAGAGAGAGAGAGAGAG